GCATTTCAAAAGGGTATTATCGTAATATAAGTGATTCTTAGTAAAATGATTGATTAAGTTTGTGCCACCAAGTGTGAGGTTTTGGTCTCTATAGGATATGTGCAATTTAGTAAAACAATACAATATATTAATTTAAAAAAAAAAACTACTATGTAAATATAAACTGACCAAAATGTATAAAGTTTAAGAATAAAACATGACACGGCTCCGCCTCCAGTTGGCCCTTGGTCAGGGTGCGCATAGCTGGAGGGAGTAAATGGTTTAGGAAAATGCTTCGAAAATTAAATGAAGAAATAATGCTCGGTATGGGACATGGTCTTACGCATATGCATTACGTGCAGTGATACTCAAAACCACTGAGCCACGGGCCACGACGGTCTTATAAATTTAATCACATTACAATCTCATTTGGGTTGATGCGTGAGTTGTGCGTATGGCTTTTGAAAAATGTAACCGTTTCAACCATGACTTTATTGATACAAGAACTTACACAATAATCTTGTGCCATGCAACAGTTTTAACTTACTTATTAAATACTTATTCAATCATTAAGTTTATAAAACAAAATTATTTAAATCTTTATTACGTTAAAAAAATTGTTGAGTATCTTGTTCTTTTAAAATTAGCTTGAATACATTTGTTTGTGTTACCTTATTAAACATTTTAATATTATAAATACTTATTAATTTTTAAAATTTTACACTTATAATAATTAATTGTATTACCTAAATGTTTTTTTTAAGTACCTATTGTTGTGAAATTTTTTAAAAGTTTTCTGGTTGCTTTATCAATTTTTTTATATTTTGTTACCTAAATACACAGTGTGAAAAAATAATTAATCTTAATATTGTGTTTTTTTTATTCAGAGACTTGTATATAATCATTAGGCTGTGTTTTATTTATTTTATATTGATGTTTCTTTTAAAACAAATGGGTTGTGCGGAGTATATAGCATAACGACTGAATTTGAACTAGTTATCCGTACTTAGAACAAATCAGTTAAATCACAATTATTATAATAAACTGAAAAAAAAATTTTTATTGTTAAAATAATAAAGAAAAATTATTAAACTTAATTAAACTAACATGTCAAAATAGTTTGAATTCAACACACCCCTCAGTTTTTGTTTTAAGAGTTCAAAAATCACTTTCTGTCAGTCTTACATTTTTAAGTATCTTTATTTGACCATTGTAAAATATTTATTGCTATTGAAATTAAAAATATTTATGATATAGTTATTAACTGTAACATATTTAATGTGATAATAATTATTATTATTTGTTTTAAAATATTTCTAATGAATAAAACATGTAGAATTAAAATGTCATGTGAATACACTTTTTGTTATGTTTTCGCAAAAATATTTTAAAATTAATTATGTTTTAGATGATAAGGTTGATTATTGTATTTAGTTATAATTATAAAGCATACACTTGTATTATAAAAAAAGCTGTACTCAGATTTTGTAATATTTATTAATTGATTAATTAAATTTCCACTCATTTTAAAATTCATAATTTTTATTTATATTATGTTAATTTAAAATTTAAATAATGTGACTTAATAAGATTATTTTATACCACCAATATAGTATTATATATACTTACTTAATAAAACCTTATATTTAAAATAAATGTAATTATGTATAACTATTTGTTGTACATAATTATAACTATAGAAACTTGCTAATTTTATTCTTAACATATTAAAATTATAAAATTGTATCAATTTTGTAATTGTTATATTAAAACAATATATATATTACTACTTAATATTCAGTGATTTATTGTAGAATTAGAATTGTAAATTTATATTGACTAATTTTCTTTGGAAAATATTTATGGAAGGACTTGTGCAATCGTGCCACCAGAAAATAACTAGTTAAAATATTTTGTAACTAATCTACGACACCTGAAACATTAATACTTCAATAATTCAAATGGGGTTTATTCACTTTAAACATTATTAACTACCGACATAGAAACATGCCTATTTATTCATCGTATTACATACTAAGTTAATGTTCTGAGACTACATTTATAATTTTTGTTTTAAACACATAATTTAATATCATACTAAAATATTGACTTTTTATTATATAAGCATTAATGCTCTAAAAACTTAACACTTAACATTAATACATTTTAAATAACAATGTATTTTCATTAAAAGTATTTCCATACAAGTACTAAAATTAATTATAATATTCACTAGACTTATCTCAATAAATTTGTCACAAAACATTTGAGTTAAGTAGGTATGATTTAAATTATTCGACAATTTTGTAATTGCCATATTACATATTAGGTATATTAAAAATATAAGGAATCAATTAAATAATATGTAAAATATATTTTTAAATTTAAATTGATTTTATTGCTTAACTGACTGTGAAAAGGCGAGTGTCGCCGATGTTATATAAACTAGGCTTTTTCATGCAGTGGCGGATCTAGGATTTTGTTTTTTTTTTTGTGGGGAGGGGGGAATATTTTTTTGTAATTAAGTTAAATTATTTTTATAAAAACACTTATATTAGTTAAATAGTATTTTAAAATATATTATTAATTATTATGTATATTATACATATAACTCGATATAAGCTGGTCTTATATCAATTTGATGATGAATATTTAATAATGATAATCAGCAGGGTTCGGATTTTATAGCACCAAAAATCCTAAGATATGTGCTACAATATGGCCAAAAAAACCGTAAAATATGCCCTAAAACATCAAAAATAGCAACAAATAAAAAATAATCCGTCAGTTGTTTTATCGATACTCACCCACATGCAGCGGTTATTAGCTATACCTGAGTTCTAATTTTTTCGATAATTTCTTTGCAAATATCATCAACGTACAACTTTCTCAGTGTTGATTCGTCTAGAATATGATTTTTAGTATACTTTTCTAAAAATTGTCGAAACTTTGCATTGGATAATTTGTTTAATGGTATATTTGCAGAAATAAGAGTCTTGCATAGATCGATAATAAAAGTACATTTTTGTGGAATATCTGTTAGTAACTACTGTTTCTTTTCAATTTTATTTTACTCTCGATTAATGGCTTTTAAATGTTTATCCGTTTTTAAGTGTTGAGTAACGTTGAACTTTTTGTCACAATTAACCTTACATTCACACAATTTGCAAAACAGAATACTTTCGTCAACCGAAAAAACCTCATCGCCAAACTCGGACACAAAATATCTTGGTCTCGAATAGTTCGATGTTTTATCTATCGGCATTTTACGTTTAATACCGAAACAGAAAAACAAACAATACACAATCGAGTAATGAACGAATGTGAAACGAAATCAAAGGACACGGAGAACCGACTGACGCTAAAATACGTACGACAGTCGACGGTATATTATTATACTATTTACAATTATGTGGAACAATAACAGATAAGAAGGTATAAATGTATAAATATATTCGACAAGGGGATTTTTCTTATTGATTCGCTTAAATGTATACTATTTTTCATTCGGTACAAACGAAATTTATGAAAAATATAAAATAAAGTGTTGAATTGAGAATACTAGCAACACATAGCACCAAAGCTTTAAAAATAGCACTAAAATTCTAAAATTCTTGAAAAAAAATGCAAAAAATAGCAAAATTAAAATTCATATTTAGGTGCACGGATTGCAGCTATGGGGAAATGCTAAAAAGTCAAATCTGATTAAGATACAAGCTTTCCAAAATTTAACTTTAAGGAAATTAGTTAACGCCCCTCCATACATATCAAACCATACACTACATATAGATTGTAACTTAAAAACTATTCATGACGAAGCTAAACGTTTTTATAAAAAATTTCATAGCCGCCTATCTTCTCATTCAAATCCTCTCATCAAAAACCTATCATCTCTCACAATTCCAGGCAGCCCTCCAAGGCGACTTAAACGTAGATGGTGCAGAGATTTATTACTTTAAAAATAATCATAAAAATCAAAAAAATCTACCCATATAATTAAATCACACTAGATTTAAACAAGTTGAAAGTGTCATCAGTGGGTGGCAAAATTTAGCAAAATTTAGCAAAATTTAGCAAAACAAGCTTCTTTCCTCAAATTGTATGTATCATGTTATTGTTTGTTTCTTTCTTATAACACATATACTTATTATGTCTTAGTTAGGTATAGATTGTATATTTTCTTCTAAAAATAAAGAAAAATAAAAAAATATTTAGGTGCATAAAACAAATGTTTAGCTCACTCTGCTATTTTTATCTCTATTCTATAATAAGTAGCAAATGCCATAAAATCCGAACCTTGATAATCGGAAACCTGAATTGTTCGTGATTATAAGTTCTATACGTCACAGTTATACTCTTACACATCTTATGGGCCATGGTGACTGGTGAGACAGGCCCCTCTGTCCTCTCTTTAAATGCGCCACTGTATTCATGTAGAGAGCATCAATATACGACAGTAATAACTGAGTTTTTCGAGAGCTAAAAATTATTTTTTTTTCCATTTGATGCAGTAAATTTAGTTGGTATTATTCGCATTGTTTGCGCAAATCAAAACTGTATTGAAATTATATTGATAGTCATGACTTTTCTTGAACATTTTGTAAACATGTAAAACGGTTGTTGTAAAAGGCGGAATTCGAAATTATTGCCATTTTGATATGCCATATTGATTATATAATATTGTTTTTTTCTTAGAAATTATTATGAATATTTTCGATCTGACCGTCATACGCTAAATGGTGAATGTGTGGTTTTTTGCTAAGAACCCACACAAAAAAAAACGTGAGTTGAAAAAAAAACATAGAAAAATGCGGCTCTCTAAATTGGAAGCAAGGTGAAAACTCTAATTTCCCTGGGGGTTAAGTTCTTTCATCCCTACCTAAAAGTTCAAATTATTTATTCACATTTTTCTCGTCCTCTTTCAAATCCTATTTTTAATTTCCATAAAAGGATCCGTTAGGTTAGGCCTTAATTCTAGCTCATCGCTTTCTGTTAAAAAAAAAAATAAAAAGGTTAACGAATTTTACAGTAGTTTTTTTTTTTTATTAATTAAACAAAAACAAAAAATGTCAAAAACTGTGGAACAATAAAAGCGTTTTAGGAATTCCATTAAGCACACATATTATAATAAAAAAAAAATAGTAATAAAAACAGTTTTTGCTTCATATAAATACAAGTATACAACATACAAATCAATAGAGCAACGCATGCATAAAATAAATAAATATATATATTTAATAGAAAAAGTAAAGCTCTATCCTGTACACAATAAAAATTGTTGTTCATTTTCAATAAATGTATTATTTACATCGAAATTTGAATAAGGTCACGTTCCTCCCAATGAATACGTGTTTTTGTTGAATTCATAACTGGGGTTTTTTATTCTTATTCTTAATGGCTCACACCTGGAATGTCATACGCAAAATATTGGTTTTAAATTTATTCGTTACTCGACAAGTAACAAAGTCAATGCAAAATTACCCGCAAGTATTATAATCAAAGGCAAATCCTGATGTACATTCTTTTATTTCGCGACATTGGCACATGCAAGTCGCCGAATTCCATAGCTTTAAGTTGTATTCGTCGTTGCACTTGTCGCGGTCCTCTTCATTGCTACACATACAACGGCATTCGTTGGGGTAATACGTTTGCAGGGGGGTGCAATTCTGTAAACAAAACGCAATAGTGTAAACGAACAATCGTTTTAAAAAAAATATGGTCGAGGAATGTTATTGGTCTCACTTCTTGTTTAACAACGCATCCACACTTGCATTTCAAGTGTTGATCTATTGACACTGTTTTCCGACCTTTGAATTCTAGTTTTCCATCGTCGTTATACTGTGAGACCATTACCTATTATATAGAATAACACATAACGCGACGACCAATATTAATAACAATGTTAAATCGGAATACTTGAAAAAAAAAAAATAATAATAATAATAGTTTTACTGCATACTTCGAAGTTGAGGGTTTCGACTTTAGTCGGTTGACATGCCAACAAGTCGTGGGCGCAACAACCTCCGCATCGGTTCACCCGGGTACACGTTGGATAATAATATAAACTTTGATCGTCAGTATCTTTAAGGCTGATGGTTTGAGATTCAACAGAACAACCAGCTGGCTTAGGTATCAATGTTGATTCTAGACAAACAAATTATTTATTATATTTTTTGTTTGATTGAATTCCCATAAAGTTATTGTTTTAAATTTTAAATATTCAACTAGAATACATACTTCTTTCTACATTTAGCGCAGTTCGGCCTAGAATAAAATAAAAAATTACATTATAGTTTATTGGAAATAATTGATTTAGTAAATATACAGTTATTTTATTCTTTGATAATATGCTTAATACCTATATCTCAGATTTCATCATGTGATTATTAGTTATAATATTTTATAAATAATAACATTTCATTACATATATTGTAAATACCTAAATTATTGATGTTTATGTGGATGTTCGTCAAACATGTTAATTGTTGTAATTAATATTACTTAAAATCTAAAACATATTAATCGGGGCTGTCGTATTATAAGCTCAAATGGTATTAAACTACAAACATTTATAATCATTCCTTTTTACACAATAGTATCTGCTAAAAATGAACAAACACAATTTCGGGTACCTAATGTATATAATTCCTTTACTCTGGGGTTGTGACAGCCGGTGGAAATTAGCCATCATTGAGAACCCAATCGGTTATGGTTTCAGTCAATGCAGAAAAAATTAAAAATTCTTTCCCTGAGATGATTTTCGAGTTGGACAAATATTACATCGAAAGTTGTAGAAAAAAATTATACGAAAAATATTGCGTTTCATTTACAATTAGGTATTGAGTGTTGGGTTTTGATAACAATACTGTCAACACTGATCAAATAACCGGAAAAACGAAATTTCAGCTATCAGATTTAATGAGATCATTATAATACGTCATTGTCCTACATTACCCACTCGCTGTCATTCCGCCATGTTTCCCTATTAAAAAAAAAAATTGTTGATCCATCCACAGGTATAAATAGCAACAGAAGCTGTTTCGAAAAAAAATTGATTTGACTTATTACAAATTTCAATTTTTATATTCATCTGCTTACTCTATATCTGACTCGTGTTTCACAAACTTTAGATATTATACTGAACCATGATAGGCGTGCATGGTTTTTAATCGCAGATACAGCATATACAGAATACAATGGGCCATTTTTTTACAATTTGCCAATTTAATTCATTTTGAACTACCCAAAACGTGCCTTTAATTAATTATTATTAATACCATAATAACAACATTAACAAAAACATTAATATTCTATGTACGCAGACAAGAAAGGGTTAAGTACGACCTTTTAATATAGGTAATTACTATCTTCTATTTGTAAAATGTATTAAAACGTAAATGTATTTTATTCACTAATATTATAGTCTATTAGATTACTGTAAATATTGTATTATCATCATCTATTATTCGATTTATATAATTGATATCTATTGTTCCTAATGTCAAACTTAATTACTATTATATATTATTAACAATAAGTTTCAATGACAACGTTAGGGAAACATAAAAACAATTTTTTTAAAAAGCATTTCGATTAAGTATAAATTATAAATTATGTTACTTTTTATTGATACCTACCAAATGAATATTTTAATAGTAAATGTGATTTATTTTCTATACTTATATTATTGAAGACGCAACAACCGCGCAGATATGCCTTGTATTTTGTCTATACATAGTTCATAATTTACAGAGTGAAAATAATTATTTATAAATTAAATTAGATCGTTTTTAGTTTTCACGACGAATGTAGGTTGTAATGTAAACATTTTGTTCGTTTCTATTCCGTTTATTGAACATCGTCCATGGTTATTTTGACTTGGAAGGTATTATAGGCACATATTTGTTGTAAACTAGGTAAGTACAACTGTTGTACAAATTTACAATTCTATCAATTTATTATTTAACGGAAAAATTGGTTCAGACACGTTTTATCTACTAATATGTTAGGTATAATGCTTTTCCTCGGCGGCCAATTGTGACCGAACGGATATAGCCTATACACATCCGCGGACCAAATCAATTAGCCCGAAATATGTTACAGATGCAGCACAAGAAGCTCCTGCTGCACTCGTGCACACGACTATGTACCGAACACCAGTGGAGGCTTGAGTCTTCATAACTCAAGGAGCAAGTTTATAAGCAACCCACCCACCCACCAACTACATTTACTCGGACCGATGCAATATGTTTAGGTTCTACTTTGGTTAAATTTTTCATTGACTTTTACAATTCATGGTATAGATACACTTATTTTTTACTTGAACGATCTTCTGTTATGAGTTATGAGTAAACCTGTTAGACTTAAAACATTTTGTTTCCCGATTTTCGGGACAGGAGCAGTAGCTCCTGGTATTCTTATAACAAGCCGCCCCTGCTGAACACTGCAGTATTTGCAATAGATACTTTTTATACGCTACCAGTACCCCTTGAAGTTTGGGAACACTATTATAAGAAAAATAAGTATTCAAAATATTATTGAAAAAGTCGTTAAAAACTCTTTTAACAAATATTTCACTCAAATGTTCAGTAACTGCATTTTAATGAAGCGATTAATATAGATCAATGACACTTTTTTTTTGAACGTGTAGTTTTTAATTTAACCACCTTCGAGCGTTATATTGCTTTTTATAACATATCTATCGACGTATCGTATATTGTTACATTCTCTACTACCACATAGTCGTTATTTGTTGACAGCAAAATACTATATCTGTATACAATGGATGTTATATTTTATCAGCTCTTTGGAAATAAAGACACCAGTGTATTGATTTGATTTTAGAAGTGGGTGCATTTAATTAGTTCATTGACTTACTTTGAAAACCTGTCGTGGCGAAAAGTGTTTGGGCTTCTTCTATATTTGTGTCCGGCATGAATTTAGAGAACAGTTCTGACACATTCGTCACCTGGTTCAATTCCAGTATGACATTCAAAGGGATCTGAAACATAAAACTTATTAAACATTTTGCATTTATAGGATCATGGATATTAAGTGGTGTTGCAGAACATGGCGACTTAAAATTGCTGCCTAAAAGTCACACGCAGAATAAGCTTATAATAATTGCACGATTCAGATTTCGGATATAAATCAATAGTCATTATTGTTATGTACCTATATTTCATTTTATCGATATTGATTTTAATTTTAACAATCGAATTATACTCTATTAATTTGAGGTATTGTCATTATTTTTTTTTTACATACACTATAAATATTATTTATACGCGACTAAGTCAATACGACAATGCCTATTAGTTATTGATTGATTTATGACTCTATAGTATGGGTGCTTGGAAAATTCTTTATAGCAAAAATACATCGACAATATCAGAGGAGATGAGTTATTTTGAGAAAACAAAACCTGTGAATCGTCTCATTAAACAACAAGACATAACAATTTTTTATATTCTGTAATTTAATCAAGGTCGGGCATGTGTTAAATATTAAAATACCATGGTGCATTACAACTGTGTAGGTACCTACGTATGTAACGAATGTACCTGCATGCACGTCATATGAGTCACGTTGACATGAAAGTACATTATTTATGTAATTTTTTGTTATCAGTACTATCATTTTCTTTTCCAAACAATCATGCCATATAGTATGCACACTATTATAGTTGACCGTCTCACCAGCGTATTTTATAATCATTATATTATCATAGTAATTATTCATTGTCAAAAATCTATTCGGTGAAAGACGGCTAGGTACCCGATCTAATTAATTTAATATGACCTCAAAAATCTTCTTCCGGCAAAAAACACAGCAGGGCCGCACGGGCAATATTAATTATTTTATATTTCAGTTTTTAATTTATACTTATATTTTATATTCTTGCTTGAACTCTTCTTCGTGGAATAAATATCTATTTATATAAGTTACAAATTATAATTCATAGCAAGCGCGACTGCTGACTGAATATGATCGAAATTCATACAAATAATAATTATTATTGTGCAAGTAGGCACTTTATTTCTATTCTAAATTACGAAATTTAAAATTTAAACAATATTTTTCTCTGACTATAGACTATGTCAATGTTGAATGCTTGTACCTATATGGCACGTAAATAAGTATAAGCGTAACATGATAGATAACAATTATTTAATAGCTAGGTATATACGTGTACGAGAACATTGAAAACTAATATATTATGACATTATGTACCAAACTTTAAACGTTTTAACCGGGTCCTTAACAACAATAAAGTGTGTTATTGATTAATTCGTTATGTGCGTACCTAATCCCTGTACAAATATCTACTATAGAAATTAGAAACCAACATATTTTCATAATTTATTGATTGCATTTGTTAAAATAAATCATGAATCTACACCGGAGTCATGAAAAATTAAATAATAAAAATAGTATTTATTTGATTAGGTATATACGTATGGTATTAACAGGCATTTATGTTTCTAGGCATTTTTTCTCGATCAAGTTTTTGAATTCATTGTTGGTAAAATTATTTTAAAATATGTGAATCATAAATATAATATAGTTGTTATACTATGTGGTTTTGTTGAAAATGATGCCTATTGATGACAAATTATTCACCTACTTAAATATTTATTTAATTATAAATAAACTATTACAAGTATAAAGTGTTCACATCGGCTGACGTTACCTAATACCTAATTAATAGTAGGTAACCAAGACCATGAGGTTTTTTTGAAATAACTATGAATCTATGATGTCGCCAGTATATTCTTGTAAGTTATGTGAGTCATGGTGTAAGAATGTTAGTGTTTGATAAGGAAAACCTCCATCATCCGTAAAAATGTTACAATAATATTCCCGTTAGTCATGTGGACACTCGTGGCTTTCAATAAGTAATGGGTATTAGGATTGGGTACACAATATGTACTCAACGGCATTAGTTTTAATTTTTCAATGAAAATATATCTGGTTACAAGTTAGTAATCACTGAGACACTGCATGATAAGACGTGTCAACACATATCGCATAGTTCAACGCTGCACCACCAAGAAAGTAGGTATTTTGTAAAGAAACAAAGTAAAATACGATGGTATACGCTTGAGTGCCTACCTGAGAATTGGTTAATCCATAAATATTGGGTTTTCCTTAGTATGTAGTGAATATTTAATTAGATAGTTTTTAAGTTGGTCATCATGATAAATGGATTAACAAAACATAAAAAATAAATAAGTTAACGTCGAATAACTTAAAGTATGTTATATTACAATACCTATGTATCTATAATTTCGATTCTAGTCGGCTAATTTAAATAAATAATAATTCAAAAGGATTTTTCAATGGTTATAGGTACTCATATTATTATATTATTATTGTGTACTCGCTTAGTTCTACGTATGACGAATAACTTTAATACTAGTCTTTTTACCACATTATTAACTGTGATTTCTACTCGCTTCTCTGGTGTATAATCAAATCCATTGACTCCGTATATTGTCTTCAAAATACAATAATTATATTTAGGTTCCTAAAACCTGCATATTGTATAGTATAATAGAGCAGTACTATGCGGCTAGCGGCCGGCGGTCGGTAACGGAATACGTGACGAAAATACAATTGAAACAAATTTTACAATTATTTTGATACAATAATCACGTTTTGAAATCTTAAAATCTAACACGTTCGGAGAGAGTATTTTTGGTTATCTTTATCATATTATAGTCATTTCGGAGTGGTGGTAAAATACTTTTTAATTATTGCATTAATCAAATCATGATGATATAATACCTATCGTAATTTGTAGGACGTAGGCATTGGCTTAGATGTGAGGAGAATTCTGTAAAAAAACTTTATATCACTAATTGTCCAAGTCATTTGTATTATTATGGAAAATAAAATCGTTTAAATGTGTGTAATTCCTAATTAATAGACAATAGTGCTCGAAGAACTGTTGACAATACAAACGGAAAACGTGTTTTGTATAAGAACAACTTAACGTGGTAGTTCTATTTAATTAGACGTTTGTGTGTGAGCCTAAACTTATTGTTTTCTTATTAGAGGAATACAATATATTTTATACGGATAGTTTTTTTAAACCTAAAATATAAATTAAAAATTGTATTAGGTATGCCTAATTCCAACTGGGAACCAACTAGAATAAGGTATTTAAAATACTATAATTAAATTCATAAGTAAGAAAATAACAAAAAGTATTTTAATACCGTATAATCTCTATTAATTCATCAATGAAAATGTAAGATTCATAAAATATTTTAGAATCTGAGCTAAGCAATGAATGAATTTGTTTTACAATGACATGATTGCGTGTTGTTTTTTTTAGACCATTATTTTAAGTCGTATTTAAGTTACATTATCTCTGTTAAAAAAAATCTGAAAAAAACTAAAAAAAAAAAAACAATAGAAATGCTAGAATGATTGCAAAATACAATTTTCCAACAAATTTTATTATTTTGTTATAAATATAAAGTATGAATAACTGTAGATATTTGAGATTTTCTACAATTTTTTGAATTAGTATTTTCTAGACATGATGTAATTTACAAAATATTTCGGCTCATTTCCGTTGAAAGTATTTTCTTTCTGAAGTCATAATAAGCTTTGAAATATAATACAAGGTTCAATATCATTTTTTTTATAAAACAATTAAAAAATATCAAAAATACATAGTCATCATCTTTTTATAACCATCCGAAATTATCTCTAACTTGTATTAAAACTCTAATATTAAGCTTATTATTGTAATATGTTAATCGTAAATGTATTATATATCTACAATTGAGTGAATAAGACGTCAACTTAATAAATAAATAAATAAATAAAAAGTTCATGATATGTCGAAACAATTCATCAAAATAACCAAAATTTGTAAATTATTTTCTTGTTATATATTCCGAATTAATTCGGCAATACTTAAAAAATTAATATAAGGTTTCTCAAAAGTTTTTCTAGCATAATTTAAAAAATTTAAAAAAAATTTATTTAACCATAATATTTTAAACAATTATTCTACTAACCTATATTCACACCGTTTCACGGTACATGGTATAGACGTATAAATTATTTAATAATTATAATATACGATATATTATTATAATAAATGGTATATGCGATATATTTTGCAAAACGTTCAACCGCATACTATTAAAAAAATACTAATAGAAAAATAAATAACTTGCACTAATATAATACAATTAGAAAATATCCTTAGAAATGTCATAACACCAATACTTATGGATTGACGAAGTACATTACGGAATCTGCTATACTGCATAGCGACTTGCCCGGTCTTTTTTTTTTATCTTGACCTTTGGCAATCTGGCCGCAGGTTACACTATTTATACAAGATTTACACACTATTATATTAATATTATTAATTATGTCTTAAGTTTAGATATTATTATAATGTTTTTTGTATTATGTATTATGTACAAAATGTAATTTAATGTTTGCAAAAATTGATATCGTTTTACGAAATGTGAATCATAAGAAATAAATAACTCGTTGAGCGTTGTAACTATTTATAGAAGAAATTAGGTATGCGGTTATAGTAGGCAGTTCTAAATGTATAGTTTTATACCTAAATATTCTGAAGTGTATTTAATACTACGTAATGTTTATTATTTTTAAAATAAATACGAGTAGTTTGTTGCGTTCATTAGGTATGTTAATTGTTCAAATAATTCTAAATAACCATATAAGCATATTTTAATGTGATAAATGCTATTTTCTTGGAAAATCGTTTTTCCAGTTTGCAATATAGCTTATGTCTACAAATATTATACAGTAACATATTATTCATATAGCTTATCGGTTTACAAATTACAAATCTTATGAAAATCAAATGACAGATGTGAATTAATGATACTTGTTTCAGTGGGTATCTATGTAGGAGTTGTCGAAAGGTGGTTTTTATTTATCTTGTATTTGTATCGATTTATGTATTGTGCAACAAAAAACTTGTATTGTTAAATATAGCTCGTATACCTATTTGTTTTCCGGTAGTATGTTTAGAAGCAGGTAATGCCGATATCAGGGTATTGAATATTATTCAAACCTCCGGATTTGCATATTACGACGTCTGCAATAAAATTAAAGTATGCACGCGTATACAATATAAAAACTAACTTTATCACAATTATTGATTGCCCGCCAAAAATAATGAAATTTCAAGTGACGACTGTGGGACGCGGGGACACAATATCAAGTAAATGTAATCACGGATTCATTTATTCTAGGTGTATTATTAAAATAATGTGTAATAACATAGCCGAACGGAGAGAGTCGAAGACAGAGTGTGGTGAACGCAATTAACCGATTCTCCTACCCACTGCGCGAACTCGGTTTGCGTGTGTGCTACAAGGTCTGACGAGTATATTCGTAGGTAACAAAATATTATATTATTATAGTACACACTACTACGCAGGTATGTCGGTTGCGTCGGTTATTCCATTTACAGCGAGACAACTCGAATGCGATTTCCTCTCAGCATATTGAAATCAAATATATATAAACATATTACACACGCACACTCGGTCGGTGCACGTGCAGACGTATAAAGGATATACCTACGCGAGCCATCCGGCAGTGATAAACTGCAGCAGGACGCAACAGTGGTGCAACAGGATATTTATCGATGCGGGGGAGTGCGCATAACATAAAATGTTATTATGATTATAAAGATATTTACACCGTCGGTCTGACGTATCGCTCGACGCCGATTACTCGAATACCGTGTACGGCTCGAGCGGGGGAGGGGCAGATCTGGAACACACCCGGCTGCAGAATTCAAGGGACGATGTGATCAATAAACTGGGAATCGCTGTTGGAACAGAGATACCAGCGAAAGGCGTGCGGTTAAATTCGTAGGTTTAAAAATAGGTATTATAGTTGTGTCAATATATCGGAAAACGGTATTTACCTCACGGGGACCTGCGACGGTGTTGTACCGCGACGAGTGGGCCGCCGCGGCGGTGTATGGCCCGTTGCAGCACGAAGAACCACCGGCCGGATTGACTGTGCCGCGCAGAAGCGCAGGGCCGTCTGCGCTCCAATCGGCGGTCGTCGTCGTGGTGGTCGTCGTGGTCGTCGTCGGACGGGCCACGACGGTCTGGCCGCGCCTGGCCGCGACAGTGACGAACAGCGTGCAACAGACGACGGCGGCGGTGCAGGCGAACATGACGGCGAGCGAGGCGAACGACGGAAAATATTAAAACGACAAATTATTGACGAGCGAAGCGCGTACGGGTGCGGCCGGTGTCGCTGGCGTTCTGTCGCCGTGACGGCGTGCGTATGACGACGGATGGCCGCGAACCGAGGACGACGATAATAGTAATAATATCATAAACATTGGCTAGCCACGACCACCGCCACCGCCGCGATTGCAGGTGAACAACAGGTGAGTGCCGTGGTCGTTCCTCTACTCCTGTCCGCTCTCGGTTTATCCGCGGCGGCCGCCGAGTGTGACTCATCTCGCGTTCAGCGCCTGACGATAGTATGAAAATAATAATAATAGTAATAATAACGCCGTGCTTCGTGTGGGTACGGATAATATTATTATTATTATTATTATATTATTATTATTATTATTATTGTTCCCGCCGAGGCGTGCATTCTTCATCGTCATGTCGTCAGTCGGTATGGGTTGCAGTCGGCAGTGGGTTTACTGCGAATAAATAATATTACTTTGTCGTTATATAACAATATCGCAAGTGCTCCATACTCCGCTTTACAGACGCCGATGTAATCCTGCAGCAGGTAATTTTACCCGGTAAATGTCGACTGATTTTTTATTTACCGAGCGAATTACGGAGCGACCGATACCGTAATTATTGTAATATATTTGTAATGACATGACAATATAATAGCTGATTATGGTCGATGCCCCAGTTGTGACTAGGTATACCCATGCGGAAAATACAAATCGACGACAGCCGCTTATACCTATCGCCATTTGCGCCCCAAATCATAGAACAGCTCATGCCGAATTAAAATCGTTCGACGTTTCCATTTATTGGGGTGACTACATAAAGTCTAGGTCGCTCGGAGTAATCGAAATCGTAAAATCCTAACCGATAAGGAAAAACTTATCGTTTGTAACTCCTGCATCAGTGTTTAGTTGCGCATCAACATGCGAGTAGTTGTGAGTACCTACTTACTAAGTGCGATAGTGGAATTTGATGTAACTATATTTTTTCAACTCTTCGAGTAAAGAAACTTGGATAGTTTTCCGTTATTTTAAATATCATGTGAGTAGAAATGTTGTTTCTGGATGTAGCCGCTGTATTATAAGTTGATGTTGTGTTAAACTTTAATGTATATGTCAAAACTAATTATACAGTGAATAAAATGCAAATAGACAAGTGTAGAGTTTGTTATTGATTTTGATTTTAATTTTATTTAAATATGTACTTGTATTTAACTATCATTCTGGATTATATAAAACGATAATAATAAATGGGATGATTAGAACATATTAAGATCTTTATTATTTGGAAAATAATCATCTTTTTTCGAATTAAACACATAAACGATTACTGACGGCAACGTTGTGCGCATTTGGGCCATAAATTAAGATATTGTGATTTTTATTTTGAGAACAAATGTTCATAACCCTATGATCGAAAATGGTACTAACAGCTTTAATTATTTTTGTCACCAAATCAAATTTTGGTTTACTCTCGTACCTTCAGTCAAGTATATTAATTATCGGTATTCATAAAAATTTACCGATTCTAATATATCCGTCTATAGTGCCCTGATTACATACAATAGTCAACTTTTTCTACAAAAACAATGTTCGAATGTCATACAATTATACGAGCCCATCAAGCAACGCCATTAAAATCCGAACACTACCGACGCAATACAACTGGTTTCTAACGCGACTTCCCACTAATAATAATTAATAACAATTACTTCCCCCATACACACGCACACACACAATACCTAGCACACACACGTCACAATATTGTCTATACATAACGCCTTAATAAATTGGAGTTCTGTTTTCTGTAAACTGACTAAAAATCAAATCTGGATAGGATAGAATTGACCACACTTGACCAGTTGTTTTCAACCTGGGGGTCGAGACCCCCGAGGAGGTCGCGAATGATACGTTTGGGGGTCGCCAAAGAAATAGACGAAATGATTTTTCCATTTTATTTAAAAATAAAAGAAAGTTAATGTTTTATTTTGTTCGATACATAGGTATAATATATAATAACATGCCGAGGAGCGTAATCTTATACTCTTATCGATAGCGGATACAAATTATTAAATTGTTCGTAACCCGTATCGTATAGTCACTATACCATAGTAGTATAGTATATACGTAGGTATATTTGAACAATTTCAGTCGCATATATTTGTAATAATCAGTTCATACCTAAGTGTCATTCGGGCAGTACATGTATGTCACTCGATATAAAGGTTATGCATCCACTCACTCTTGTGTGAAACGGCGTTTTCAACTCTTACAGTAATAAAAAACAAATATCGGACAAAATTAAATGCAGAATCAGACTTAAGAGTTGCAGTCTCTAATAAACCTAATACGGAATCGATAATATCAAAAGTTCAAGCTCAAGTATCCCATCAACGCGTGAATAACAAGTTAAATTGTACATTTTTAAAATTTTATTTATGTATTTTTTTACATATAAATTTATTGTATAATTATTATTCTTGTATTGTTTTAAAATTATGTTGTATTATAAATAAACTAGCTGTCCCGTCACGGCGTTATTATAATATAGCTACATAACAAAAACCCTTTTTACCCCCTTTGAGGTCGAATTTTGAAAAACCTTTTCTTGGTGCGCCCCTACATTGCTTCGGAAACCTCTGTACAAAATGTCGAATCTCAAGACTCAGTGGTTTGGTCTGGGCGTTGATAAGTGCATAGGAGCGGTTTCCTGTATGTATATAGATATCTTAGATTTTATTGGTTCCTATGAAAAATAATTCGTTAAGTACCTACCTATAACTGTATTAAAACAATTAAATAATAAATTTTTTTTTTTGTAATTAGCCGAATTACCCGGCTTCGATCGTGTGTAGTTTTTGCTTTGTCAAAATGAACTTCCTAAATCAACACACATTGTTGTGTTGTAAAATATTTATTTAAAATTTTTACGTAAACAATTTATTTTTGCCCATTTCAACCCTTAAAAAACGAAATTTTGAAAAATCCTTTCTTAGTGGAACTTGAAATTATAATATTAATCCATTCTCAACATTTCAATATATATTATACATACTCAAATAGATTCGGCTTCACGTTGATTATTGCTAAAGTAACTTTCATTTATATATAGAGATTAAATTTTTAAGTGTGAATTAATCAAAATTGTATACCATATAAAAATTTTTTTCAGTAATTAAATCAAATGTTGATGAATAAAAAACCATTTTAGTCGCAGTTCAAAAAAAAAAATAAAAATTGGGTCGCGATTCAAAAAAGGTCGAAGGCCACTACACTAGACTACCAATAATTATTAGTACAGTACGATTTTAGAGTTTGTTGCAGTTTATTTCCCAAAGGAAACTTGGGTAACAGCTGTAGTATTTTAATTGTTATACGTTAGTATAGATATAACGAACATATTTTGTACAATTATAACAGTTTGATAAATTAAATTTAAAATTATAAAATATAAATCAGATCTCTTATCACATGTATGTAATAATTATCATTTAAATTGTTCACGTTTCCACTTAATGAGTTATATGTAGTTTTGTTAAATTCACACTATGTATAATAAAATCATTTGTGTTTATCTACAATGAACATTACACCTGAAATATACACATTGCAACGTTTTAATTAAATCTTAAACAGACAATTTGAAAGTTGCATGTTTACCTGCAAGTGTAACTGTCAAATCATGATATACATTCCTGAGTTAGGTATGCACTCATTGGCACGAGCAACTTGTTGAATTCCACCGTTTTAACCCGTATTCATCATTACACTTATAGCGATCTTCTTCATTGGTACATTTACAACGACATTCGTCGGGATTATAAACTTGCGAAGGTGCACAATTCTGTAAAAATAAATAGTTAACAAACAATTTATTATTCTAAAAATCGGAGTAAAATTTTAAATCTCACTTCTTTTTCAATAACACAATCACACTTGCACTTCAAATGTTGGTCTACTGACACCGATTTTCGACCTTTAAATTCTAATCTACTCGGTCCATTATATTGTAAAGCAATGACCTAAACATTAAACACGACAACAGGATAAACACTTTTTTATTTATTATAATTTAAGAGACCAGACAAATGTTTCAGGTTTGCTGTTAAACACGCATACTTCGAAGTTGAGGGTTTCGATTTCGGTCGGTCGACATGCCAATAAATCGTGGCCACAACAACCTCCGCATCGGTTCACTCGGGTGCACATTGGATAGTAATATAAACTTTGATCGTCAGTACCTTTCAGGCTGATCGTTTGAAGTTCAGCAGAACAGCTTGCCGCTTTAGGTATCAGCGTTGCTTCTGAACGTACAAATTACATGTGATATTATTTGTTCTAGGTTTATAGAATAACTATTGTAACGTGTATTATTTTTTCGGGTATTTATATTGATTATAAACTTACTTATTTCTGAGTCAGGTGAATTACGATCTGAAACGCAAAAAGACAATCCATATTTATTAATTTATTTTTTTTTTTTGTTCTAAGCTTATATTGATTAATATTAATCAATTCACTAAATATAAAAATAATTTATTATCCTTGCAGTATACCCTCCAACTTTTTTTACTTCACAAATTCAACCCTTTTATTCGATTTTATCACATGCATTAACCTACTTTGGAAACCTGTGGTGGCGAAAAGTTTTTGAGCATCTTTCATATTTGTGTCTGGCATGAATTTAGTAAACAGTTCTGAAACATTTGTCACTTGGTTCAATTCCATTATGACATTTAAAGGAATCTAAAAACATGACATGAATTAATAAGTCATACGTGTATGATGTGTTATTGTTTTACATATGTTGTGTTATGGTTAAAAAGCCTAAACGTCATTGATTAAAATAAGAAATATATGAATTAAGTTTAGTACGGAATTAATTTACACAGATAAAACTATACTATAATTTAAATAATCAACAAATATTTTATGTTTGTATTGTATATTTAATGAGATTCAAAAAATAAACAATTCAATCGAAACTGATGTCTAAGTACTTATAATACGTGTTTAACTTAATGTCTAAATCTAATCAACAACAAATTATCTAGTATATATGGTCTCCGGTGATAGTAATAAATAAATTGATCAATATCAATGAAAAATATTGTATTAAAGCACACAATTCAGTTAAACATTTAATTCTTGCTTATTGGGTTTATTGTCACGAAATTGACTGATTTTAATTATTTAGTTGACCTTATATATTATCAATTTATTTATTTAAGATTAAAAGAATCTACTCTAAAGAATTTTATTTTTCAATAATATTATCTTCATACAATCTTATTATTTTTTTTTCACCGTAATTTGAAGATACTAAACAGTTGATTTATATGTACTTGAGCACTTATTTACCTACTACTCATCGTGCTAATACGAATGTACCTTCTTCCACTTACCAAAGTATAATATGGTAAGTATGTTGTAGGCTCATATGAGTCACGTTGTCACGAAAGTGATAGAACTATGTACGTTTCACTTTAAATATTTTTATTTAGCTCTTAGGATTTAAACGAGTATGTACACAGAACACTTACATTTAATCAAATCAGATCGCGTTTGGATCTAATACAATGTATTATAATACGCGTACAACTACAGTACACCGTTGTAAAATGGCAAAAGTTACAGACATAGTTACTGACTTGTTATGACCTGTAAAAATGCTGTTCCGGCCAAGAGAAGTGATCAAGGGCAATATGATTATATTTCTGTTTTTAACTTCTCGTTTTATTCTCTCGTTCTTAGGCGGACTTCCTACTTAAAATAGGCTTGCTGGTTATTATAGCGTTGTACAATATGCATCGTTAATGTCGTCGGAATTAGAAATTATTGCGGTAAATAATAGATAGTAATGTAATACTACAAATATTTAATGGTAGTTTGAGGGGGCTTACAGTAATAATAATAATATATTTAAATTATATTATAACAGTGTCTGTGACCCGCTGGTTACAAAAACCTATCGCTACGCAATTAACTATTATCGATGAACATTTCGTAGCAAACTAAAGGCTAAATGATAACTATAAATTTATTACAATTTTTAATTTTAGTTTCTATATCGGTATGTATATAGTTGAGCGATAAGCAGGCCACCCATTGAATCCGCTGACCGTCACCGATAGCGTAAGTGCACTAATAGCGAGTGGCTCGTCTAGTTTAATAATTATTTGAATATAATAATTGTGTATTATTATATAAGTTTCAAGCATATTATTTGTGTAGGTACCTACATAAAAAAAGGCACTTTCGTTCGGAGATGCAGCACCAAACAATCGACGATAATATTATGTCTAGACAAATGAGTGTGTGGAATTATAATAATTATTGGATACATACGAGGCGGCACCACAATATCACACAGGTACGCGACACGGGGAGTCGGTATACGGTATGCGGTAGGTATACCTATAATACCTATATTAACGATTATCGACGAGACGGCGAGTAAAGGAAAAACTTCAATTTACTTCCCGCGGATGTCCGGTGATGTCGTCCGTGGCGGTGGATTCGAAGCAGATGACAGTGACGACGGACAGTGACCAACAGACAGCGGACAGCGCGTAGACAGCCAACATGGTTGCGAGTAGTCAGTGTGCGATGAATGCTGTTCGGTATGAGTCTAGAAGCGTCCGTTCTGCAACCGCGACGGCGTGCGTATGACCGTCGTCGAACCGAGCTGGATACCACTCGTGGGCATGTCCGGTCATCGTAGACATGTTCAATCAGTTACCCTGGTACGGCGGAACAAACATTCCGGTAAAAGAGTCGCATACCAACATGGCAACATAATCGGGTTGAAAAAAATGTTGGTGCGTCTTCTTTTTTTTTTCTTAACCACGATCATTTGCGAAGTAATAAAGTAGTGGACATGTACTTATCGTTAAATATTATCCATAAAAAAAATCTACCGCCAATCAATGTAATATTGCATGTTATACCTTGGGCATATGTTGTACCTATATATAATTAACTTAACTCAATGGTTATAATATTAATATTATTTCACAATAATCAATAATACATATTATAGAGCAAGGACTTTAATGCACTAGAAAATCATCAAATAATATTTATGCATGAAAAAGTTAAAAATAAACCATCAAAATAATATGAGCTAAAAAGTACAATTAAATAATTATCTTTCCACTTCGCATAATATTGTTGCCCGCAATCTTAGACAAAAATAAACGTAGTAAAGGGTTATAAACCTCATAGAGGGCTTAGTAAAATTTTGTCTGGCAGAATTTTTTTGAGAATGACAATCTAAAAAACCCACTGGCCATTAAGATGAGATTTCGATATTTTTAGAACGCTGCAAAAACAACTTAGAATAAATAAATATATATCATAACATTTTCAAGTTTTAGCTATAAAAATTAAAAATTCTATGGATTTTTAATCACAAAATTATTCAACTTTTAACGCTTAAAAAAAATTGTTTTTATATATTTTTATAAGTACTACTAATGAGAATGTTTGTATACAGTTTTTAAGTTTTTTAACGGAGCTCAATGTTTTAAAGCAAACAAACAATACAAAAGAAAAACTAAAAAAATGTGCAATTTCAAATATCTATAAATAGCTTAAAAAGATCTAAAATATGTTTAAAATTGTATCATGCCTGGAAACTGCTAATATATATTTGTCTGATATAAATTAAATCTTAAATTTATTTTTGAATTACAACAAACAAGTAATAATTTTTTTGAAACAGCAGGTTTTGTGTAAAAAGTGAGAATATTATTGTTTTTCCATCATAACTATTTCTTTTGGTTTTTTGTAGTAATTTTGAAAATTATTTGAATGGAACTTAAGTATAAAAAACTTAAATAAACGCATTGGTAATAATGTTAATACAACTATCGTTTACCTCAGAATGTAACAAAAGTGTTGAATTCGTTTGGAAATCGGTATTTTTCAACTGATGGGGACCATTATGTTTTATGAAATTCAAATAACAAACTAGAATATTTTGGAAAGAACACACTCGCAACAATTTGTCCTCATTGCTTTTTATTATATATTTTGATGATTTATCTGCTGTTTATTTCACTAAAAATTCTGATCTTTAATAATTAATATATTTTGAAAAAAAATCTTGGTCCTGGTAATATTTTAAATCATGATAAAAAAATTATTTTATTACATTTTGACTAAATATTATCCGAAATGTAATAAATATTATTACTCTACAAAATATCTTTTCGTTAAACACTTTTCAAATGACAGATGAACACGACAATCGTTTATAAATTACAGTCGTCTTTCGAACAAACTAGCATTTTACTGTAAGCAAGAATATAGGTAAACAACATTTCAACATAATATTGTAATAGATAGCCTTAAATAATAGTGTAAATAATATAAATAACGGAACGATCAGTGCTCTATGTATAATGTACATAATTAGTATGGTTTTTTTTTTCGGATAATTGAGCTCATGACACCACTAATGAATATTTGTTTCTGTTCAATTGAGTACCACCGGTGTTTTTAGTTCTTATTCTTATGGGTTCACACCTGAAATAGAAAAATCATTAGAATATATATTGGAATATATTTTATTTCCGCAGTAGAATATGAATTTAAACCGCTGAATAATCACCCGCAAGTATAATTGTCAAATCCGTATCCCGAAGTACATTCTTTGATTTCACGACATTCGCACTTGCACGTCGCCGAGTTCCATTCCTTCAATTGGTATTCGTCGCTGCACTTCTCTTCGTCATCTTCGTTGCTGCACTTGCAACGGCATTCTTTGATATTATACGTCTGCAATGGGCCACAGTCCTGCGGAAATAAATAGTAAACACATTATCGTTATTTGACGCAAACATATTATATTATTATGAAAACAATAAGAAAACTCATTATTAATCGCACTTCTTCTTTAACGACGCATCCACACTTGCACTTCAAATGCCGGTCTATGGACACCGTTTTTCTGCCTTTGAATTCTAATTTTCCTTCTCCGTTGTACTGCGATACCAATACCTATGAGACATTTCAATTGAGTGCCTTACCTAACTTTTAAGAGTTTCAAATAATAAAAGGTGTTTTGGTAGGTACATACTTCGAAGTGGAGTGTCTCGGTTTTAGTCGGTTGACAAGCCAACAGATCGTGACTGCAACACCCTCCACATCGGTCTACCCGCGTGCACGAAGGGAAATAATACAAACTTCGATCGTCGGTGTCTTTAAGGCTGATAGTTTGACTTCCAATGGAACAACTTGCCGGCTTAGGTATAAACGCAGCTTCTACATAGTGTACACACATCATTTTTAATTTTACAAAAAATATAAATATTTTATTTGTTTAATCAATTATTTCAAGTATTATATTTATTTTGATATTGAACTAGACATCATACTTCTTTCCATGTTTAACGTAGTACGACCTGAAACACACAAAACAATCATTTTACAATTTTACTAAAATGTATAGGATTATTATTTAGTTTTCTTTTATTAAATATTTTAAATGTATTAGAAAATATTAATAAGAGCAATAAAAATAGTTCCTATATATTTTGTAGGCAAAACAAAGTTACATACAGGTAGTTAAATTTTTAACATGTTTTCCCTTATCTCCTTTAAGCAATGCTTCTGGTAGAGGCGAGAAGTCCTTAAGAAATAATATACAAAGTTGGAGTGAAATTAAAATCGTATGTAAAGAAGAAATAAAAATAAAAAACATGTACATAATAAAGAATTTACATTTTACAAGTTTGGCAACTCTTAATAACGATATTTGTTCGTAAAATCAAAAATGTATTTTATCATTCAATGGCTCATAGCTGTACTGTAGTTCCAAATTAAAAAAAAAAATTGTTTAATTTAAATGTATTTGTTGTATTATGCTCATATTGATATGATACCCATTATAGATCGTTATTACTAACTCACACGTGTGACGTGCATCATTATCTACTATATTTCACTATTTACTTACTGACTAAAATTTAACCAAGTGTCAAGCTAGTGATCAAAATAATTTAATGACACTTTTGGTTGATATAACAGATTATTTTTTTCATTTGTGTTATATTTGCATGTTGTGACGATTATTGTAAAATGTAATGTTATTTCTTAATATATTATAGTTATAATGTAACATTAAAATTAAAAATTATATTGATTGATCCTTTACGTAGTTAAGTATTCAGTTTATTTTCTACATTTTTAATAAGTCAATCAACTTACTTTGAAAACCTGTTGTGATAAAACGTCTTTGAGCTTCATCCATATTAGTATCTGGCATAAATTTGTTGAATAGGTCTGAAACATTTGTTACCTGGTTCAGTTCCATTATAACATTCAATGGAATCTAAAACACAATATGTAGTTTTAGAAAATACATCGAGTGTAAAAATTATATAATAATAAGTAGGTAGTATTAATTTTATAGATGAATAATGAAATTCAACCTCAACTTCAAATTCAAATCTTCCACGCCCAATTTTGAGAAACTAGGTTATAAATTTTCAGATATGGATCAAATTAAGGATACAACGAAGAAAATATAAATTATAGTTTTTCTAAAAAAGCAGTTCTGTTCAATAATATTTAAATTAGTTTAGTTAGTAGAAGCAATATGAAAGACCTCTATTTAAGAAAAAGTATTAATCTTATCTAATGGCCATGATTCCTGAAGCAAAATTTTCGTTTCAAGATCGATATTCGATAGAAATATTTAAAAATAAAAAATAAACTTTATTTAGATATTAAAATATTACATTGTGCTCTACGAATTCAACAATGTGTATCGTATGTGACTCATGTAGTACACAACGTGTACGATTAATGTTAATTGTATTATCAGTAGGTACTACCTATTATTTTGCTTTTAGGTTCTAAACGAGTATACAAAACACTTATTGAAGATAATTTACTCAAACGAGTACTAGACAATATTGCATTATATATTGTTATAAAATCAAAATACTGACGGATAGTAACTAATTTTGTATGACCTGCAAAAATCCTCTTCCGTCTGAGAATGCATCAAGGGCAATATGATTATTTTAAACTCGTCACTCTATTTTATAACTCTTGCGCTAACTTCCTACTTAAATAGTAGATACTGCAGGCTTACTTATAATAGTTGATACTATTTATTATTCATATCGTTCATATTATTCTAAAATGTATCGTCGAAATGTACTAGAGTAAAATATTAAATAGTTAACATTCATCATAATTAAAGTGAAGAGGTAGTATATCTGAACGTATTAAAAGATATATTTATATAAAAAATATACTACACTCTAGTCAGTGAACATTTATGAAAAAATGTTTTAGTTAGTTACACATTTACAATCTGCTTTTATTACACAGCATTTGTACAAAATTACAAATGATTGTACATCAAACAACGATTTGTGTGAAGGTTAGACTAGAGTACATGTCCATCCACTCCCCGTAAAAATAAAACTTTTGGGAGGATTTAAACTTTAAATGAATCATTTTATAGTCGGCGACTTAAAAGTGCAATCAAATTTAAGACTATAAGCCCATACCGTAAATGCATTGATAGTATGCAATTTAACTAAACTTTGTGAACATTTGTTTCAAACTCCTTTTATAGTTTTGTCTTATCTAGTCAAATCGGATTTTATGATATTCTTATGTCAATGGAATTCTATACCAAAATCATTAGTAGGTAACTACAAATGATCCGATATTAAACCTATAATAACTGACTAAAATTTCTAACGAACAAGTAATTTATAAAATCCATTAAAATCATCAATAACCATAGGTCGGTGGGTACCTAACTATATAGGTAATTACATGTAGATGGTATAATAAAAATCAGATCAATAGTCAATAAAATAAGTATACTTAATTCATGGATAATTAGTTCCTTAATATTAGGTACCAAGAAACATAACCTATGAATAACGGAAAAACATTAGTTTTTAGGTCATTAAATATATATTATGAAATGTCAGTGGATTTTGTCAGGTTCTCATAAAAACTCACTATGATTATGATCTACAGGCACCATTGTCCATTTGCTTGCTATTATGTATTACTTAACAGCTCGGTTTAACAGTAAATTTAAATATTAGAGCCACAGAATATGTTTTTGTAGTAGTTTCTTAATAGAATGTTTAATTATGTGTAGGTATTTGTACGAAAATAGTTCGTGAATTGAATAATTAAATAATAAGTGAATTTTTATATTATGCAGTATTTTAATTGTATTAACTATTACAATACATCGAGACTTCTCTATAATATACTCTATCCCTATTTTGTTTATTTAAGTTTAAGCCCCACGTTTCGAGTCAACTGTACTTGTTTGACTATGGTGATTCTGTTATCTTGAACCCGGTCGACAATAACTGTACGAGATATTTTAACATTTAAGGAAAAAGACGTACCGTCAAGTGACAACTATGAAAAAGAGCCAAAAAAAAGTATATTCATCGTCGCTGACTGCGTGCGTAACGCCTTTTTATCGATATCGACACACAGCGTGAGTACATTGTAGTTTATTAAAATAAAATAATATGATGAACGGAAATGCAACACACACGAGAGTAGCACTGCAGAAAAAATAAAGCGCGGTATTTAAAATAATTTCACAGGCACCTTGAAAATACACCGAGTATTAAAAAAGGTATGGTGGCAATTATTTTCCATTCGTCCGTTGTAATCTATTAAAAACGAATCAACAAAAAAGGCCGACTTTTCCAAAAAGAAGATAACAGTCATTACTCATTAACAAACTCTTAGGACGGCACCCTAAACTGCGTATTATTGCATTAAACATGATTTTAATATTATAGTTACGGCGTGTTTATTTTGAGGCTCAGAATCTTATTGTATTATATAGTAGTTGCGCATAATAGTATATAGAACATAAGTGCTAATACGAACATAAAATAATAAATTGCTTTTATTTAGTTCAAAACTACCTGTACAATAATTATGAATATGTTATGCACCTGCAGCCATTATAATAATTATTTTGAATTCCATAGCGCGTACCTATACCTGAGTGTACGCAACGGCACGACGCCGACGAGAGGATAAACATTAATATGCTCGTGTTTTTAGACGTCTACTTCAAATTTAAAATGTGAATTAAAATTACAAACCATGAACATCATATAACGTTATTAGACCGCTTATTTATTTCTACAATATTGATAAGTACTTTATTTTTATTGATTTAACTGGCTATGCAATTATTCTGACTCTGAAGTTTATTCTATTTGTACAAAAGTTAATTTATGTTAATGGATACTGTCATTTTCATAAAACTTCCTTTTAATTTATAATAATAAAAAATTATTAACTTGTACAATAAGTGCAGGCTCAAAATCGAATTTAATTTATTATTAGTATCTTTTTTTTTCATCAGTTACTAATTATACAATTTTGTTGATCTGTTAGCTCTTCAGATTTTTATTTATGCCCTATTTGAAAATTGTTTAAAATAATTAATACAAAATCTACCTACAGTCAATAAATTTGATACCTAGGTATTTTGATTAAAAAAAAACACACACAACAGAAATGACTAATGAATATTAAAATTCATGACTTCCATATGTGTAAATAATGCTATAATGTGTCATTCACTGCCCATTGGTCACTCGTCATATAATATTTTAATAATTAAGAACACTGGGTGATATCCTTATCATGTATTATCATCAAGCAAATTATGTGCAAAGGACTAGGTGGTTTTAAGTTGATATTAATTTTATACTTTAAGACTATATAATATAATACCTACGGTCTTAAACATAATTTATAAATACATAATATGAAATGTACCTATTGTATATTTTAAGAACAAGAATAGGTAGGTAACATAATATATAAAACATCAATTACAGTGATTTTATGTGTAAAAATTGCACCAGAACACGATGTCGGTCGCTGAAGGTCGTTCAACAATAGGGCCATCAGAGAGTGAAGGTTCATACTATTATTCTATTATAAAGTTAAACTTAGAAGTCTATTTTAGTAGTTTTATAATTCGCGGTCGAACAGCTAGGTGGCAGCTATAGAATCTAATACACAGCTAGGAGCCCAAACTGCCCTCCTGAAATGGCCAGTAGTGTACGACCTACCAAAACATAAATGATTCGTGTTATTGCATTCGTTCCGATCAATGTCGCTATCACATAATGATATTGACATAACTAATTTAGAAACATGAACGTAAATAGTTACATTTTTGTATTATTATTTTGAAATTGTAGTCCTATAGATCTATGCAGTACAATGTATATCTATGTACCATTATGGACTATAATTAAACGTACAATATATACTTTAGGTGATCAAAAATATGAATTATTCTTCCGACAGTCAACTGATATTTGTTAACAAAATATAGGTTTTATATTACAATGATCGGAACCGAGTGCATTTTGAACATCACCTTTTTTTAAACTGAGGGCAATTCGAACAACATCTTTTTCTGTCCCGGGCGCAATATTTGACGAAAATAAAAGTGCGATTCGGCCATAACCGGCAGGCCGATCCTGCTCACTTGGTCCGTGATAAAATAATCACCTAACCAGATCGTAGAAAGCTCAGATTTGAATTACAACACGTCAGAATAAACAAAAAATCAAACCGACTTTTGCGGTCTACACGCGACACTATACCTACCATAGGTTTATCGTTCACATTTCACCCTCGTCTGTTATCATACACGGCGTGGTACTGCAAATTAATTTCCGGTTGTCTTAACCGAGCACGGCCGGTATAGAACCAAGCGGAAATGGTACACGAACACGGTACGCGTCGATGGCGGCGGTACGACGACGCGTACCGAGCGGCTTCAAGCCGTCGTCCGCGGCGCGTACGAGCATGAATAATGTGACACGCCGAAAAACGCGCGCGCCGAGGCCGCGGAACGTGGCCGATAACAGACAGGCTGTCTTATTTACCTCTTCCGGATTCGCGGGGAAGTCTTCAGCTGACGAGGAGGACTGTCCGGCGCAGCAGTGTTCGCCGACGGCCGAGCTGGTGCGCAACGGGCGAACGAGGTCTCCGTCCAAGTACGCCGAACGCGCGTTGGGACCGTATTTGGCGGCGGCGGCCAACAGCGACCAACAGCTGACGACGGCGACCAGCGTGCCGGCGATCATCGTGGTTCTCGTTCGGCGTCGCGTCATCCGTCCTGTCGCCTGGTCGGCGTGCGTGTGACGACGCGTCGGTGCCGGCGCAGCAGGTGCGTCAACGGGCGTTTGCCCCCCCCCCCCCCCCGGGCACCCGTCGCGATATTGTGGGGGTCCCGTGCCGGGCCGTTTGCGGCGCGACGATCGCCGCACGCCGTTTCGCGCACTTTCGCAGGAGACGGACGTGGCGTTTCGTTTTGGGGGCATACTTGCAGCGATGTTCATCACTGCGCAGGATCGCGGCGGCTATGATTTACGACGTTACCGGTCGTAGGTATACGCGGTTAGGTGAGGTTAGGTTTGGAATCGGCGTGCATTATGTGCCGCTCGTGTGACGTGATCGTTCTGTACACTTTGCAGGAACAACGCGAATTAATATATTTTGGATCCACATATTATAGCAGAGGATCGCGTGGTCGAAGGATCGCAGAATCTAGAGCGATGATCCGGCTGGAGGGGGGGGGCGTTCATGTACGAGACACAAATATTTAGCTTGTTCGTTTTTAAATCAAGTCAATCTCAGTATCAAATCCATCATAATATGCGCTTATTGTTGAATTCTCATTATTCAGAGACGATGTTCCTAATACACACAGGGTGATTCACAAAGCATGCCAGACCAGAGTTTTTCTTTAAGAACAAACTTATTATAGTTCTGATTTTTTTTAATTTTTAACATTGCAAAATATATAACCAAGCCATATTTCCAACTTTACGTTCCATTGTTCCGTCTCCGAGGGGATGGCCCCGAAAAATGCAAAAGTCGATACACATATAACCGATACCATATAGTAAAAAATCCAAAAGTAAACATTGCATTTTAATCTCGCATCGTTGTTATTAATACATGTTTACCATAAGTACCTACCAATATAATAGTTGATATATTGTGATGAAAATTAAGAAAAATAATTCCAATAGTACTCCTGAAGTCGCAGGACTCGCATGTCTTCCTCCATGCTCCCTGCACCTTTGCGGTATACCTTGCAGACCTAGTGTCATATGACGAAGTTTATTGTAGACCAATCTTTCGTTATAATATAATAATTACATAACACCACCGATAGCGAAAAAGAACTTGTTCTTAATTTTTAAAAAAATAATTGTGTGCATTTACAGTAAGTTATACGTTTTCCGAGAAAAAGTATAATATTTTTTTATGGGTATTTTAACAAAACGTAGTTGAAAACAATATTTTACGTAATTTTTTCCGTCGTCTGACACGCACGTATTAATCTTTTTCTCGTTAATATCATTGTTTATTATCTTATATTTTTTGATATGAATTAAAACTAAACAGCCCAGTTTAACCTTACAACATTTTGAAAACGAATTTCATTAATTTCAATTAGTTACTATTATTTGTCAAGCTTAATATCAAATACTATTTAGCATTATTTCTCTTAGCTTGGATTTTTTTCAATCAGGATGATAATTTGTAATATCTTATTTGTATTTAGTCCTTTGATTATAATTCGTTTGTACATTTATTTTCCTATTTAAAAACGTTCTATGCATATCTCATACCTACTGTTTTTTCTTGCATGTTTTTATTTATTATATTTGAAATTTCCTACATAATATTATTTAGCACTTTCTTTGATTAGCAGTTCTTAACAAACCATTCGTTCCAGACTTTTGGAAACTGTAATTATTTAAAATTTCAAAAATTAAACTCACATTTTGCTTTTTAACTATTCATGTTTAATCTTCATTACACTGTATCACTAATTGTATCAGTTTTCAATTAATTAATGCTCACAAATTTTAAGATAAAATACAAATACTAAACCGTAACAATAAACATAATCTTTGTTGAATTACTAGTAATACTTATAAATTAATCCCTCTAATTACTAATACGTTTGGACATCCATTCTTGGAGAATGATAAAAATTCATATCCAAACATTAGTAAACATCAAAAAATGAGAAACCTACCTACGCGTTTAAGCTAAAATAATATTATTATTAGTGATCGATTCATATTTAAGATTACAAACTAGTATAATTGGTCAACTGACAACAATTACAATAAAATACTATGAATGTACGAAACAATAGACTGTTTTATAATAGCAATAACTAATAGTTAATAAATAACAAATAACACAAGCACTTTGAAGTAGGTACTAATACTACTATTACTACTGATATATACACATCAGCGGAAACTGATTATAATACCTACCCAACATTTTTTCTCGAAATTAAACGTCGTTTTCGAATTTACGACTGCAATAAGATTCGCATTTTGATTTAACCTAAAAAGGTGTTGTAATAAAAATGCACATTATTCGTTTCGTTTATCTGCAATCGCAGCGAGTGTCCTATTATAATACAGTAAACTTATGTGACTCATATTAAGTCATTGTGTGAGCGCGCGTGACAAGTAAAAAACTATCACCTGTCCTGTTAATAAATAACAATAATAATATTATGTTTAGTACACACGTACAATACTCCCGGCTACGCGTCTTGTAGTACTTGTATACGAACACATTTTATATTTGGCCTACGAGCGTGCTCTCATCCGCTGTCGCCGTCAGTGGTAGGCAATAGTATAGTAATATTATAACAATTGGTGACAATTCAGTCGGCTCTTCACTCGACGACGGCGGTGC